GTGGGGGGGGGGGGGACTGTGGAGTCCTCTTCTCTGGTCCCAGCCCCAGGGTAGTCTGACTGCACCCCAAACTCCTCATCCCCCAGCCCCACCCCCCACCCCAGAGCCTGCACACCTAGCCAGAGCCCTCACCCCCTCGCACCTCAACCCTCTGCCCTAGCCTTGAGCCCCTCCCACATCCCAAACCCTTCATCCCCAGCCAGAGCCCTCATCCCCCCACCACACCCCCCCACATAGTGCAATATAGGGAAACTGTTAAACGCTTACGGTTTCCAGTCCATTTTTACATTATTTTAAAAAATATATATCGGCTTACAAGGCAGGTGTTGGTGGGTGGGCAGGACTTGGACCCGTTCTGGGCACCACCAAGAATTATACAAACTTGCCGCCCCGCCAAGGTGCTACTTCAATATAAATAATAGAGTGACCACTTCCATCTGCCCACCTTCCCCATCCTGGGCTCTCCCAAATTAATAGGTGAAAATAAAACCTTCTTTTTACACAAATACAGAAGTGGATTTTGGAAGTTTTTCTAATGAAGCCATGAGTCACGAATCTGGTTCATGCCAGATACTTCAGGTTCAGTGGAGCCTGGAACTCCAGCACTTCCCAAAATAGTTTACTAAACACAACCCTTGTAGTAGTTACCTCCACCCCAGAATGATGGGATACCTTCAATACAGGGAGAAGCACCAAGAGAAGGAGAAAGTCATTTATAAAAGGTTTGTTAGAACTTCTTTCTGTGCTGGATGCGCTCCCTAGACTGGGAAGGGAAGAGATCAGAATATTAATCTGGGCTCAATTCAGTTTTCATTTTTGCTACGATTTTACCCCGGGATTGTTCTGGGGATCCTCACTGTTTGCAGTATTGAGCCTGTCTACTCCAGGAGCTCAGGTGGGACTCGAGCCATCACTGCAAGGGTTCGGGATAAGATGGAAGAGGTGCTGGTAGCTGTGGTGGGTTGTTTCCACAGCATAGTATATGAGTTCTCCACACTCCTGTCAGACATTTTACCTGGGTATGGCATCTGATTGGGACTTTCTGCCAGGCCGACCCCGAGGATCCACAACCAGGTCTGGGAAACTCTGACTTTGTACTAACTAGAGCTCTTCAGTGATTAAGATAGCCTTGAAATGAAATTCATTTCTCCTCATGCCCATGTGCGGCTTTTGCAGATGTCAGCAAACTTAGCCACCCATAACATAACCTCCGAATTGCAACAAAAAGCTACACTGGTATCAGGCTGCACAGCCCAGTAAACCCACTCCAATTTCTCTATTATCACGTTCCACAGAGACAATGTACAAGCTGCGTCCATTACTCTCTGTTATTAAATTAGTCCCTAAGTGTTAAGCCACCATTCTCTGAAAGTGATTTTCCTGCACTTTTAAAAGCATAAAAGACCTGCTTATCCTGTGCTAACAGAATAGATTCAGTCCCTTCTGTATAATGCGTTAGGAAAAGATTGATCTTTCTTCCCAATAGCATAATGAAAGATGGACACGTCAGCCCAGTAAGTACAAGGACACCACACAGCTGCAAGGTCAGAGTGCTACAGTTTTAAAATAATAAACACTTGAGTAATTTTCTCCATCCTCCATTGTTTTCTCCCTTTACGTCCGCCTAGCTATCCATCTTAGTGCCCATCTCCAATGTACTTAAATGCTTATGTTCCTTTCCCCAATATATTTATATAACTCAGTAACTCCAGTGCAACGTGCTGTTAAAGGTCTGCTGCATTACATTCATGGGGATGACTGCAGTTCAGTGGTGGGTGAAGTGATCCCTATTTCTAAGATGTGAATAGAACTTGATATGTAAGGGCCTGATGCAGCTCCATGGAAGGCAATGGAAAAAAATCCCACTAGCTTCAGCAGGAATTAGATCAGGTTCTAAGTGCTACAGTACTAGGGTGACCAGACGTCACGATAAAATCCGGACAGTCCCGATATTTAGGTGTTTGTCCCACGTCCTGACCGATCTTTGGTTGGGACGCAATTTGTCCCGATATTTCGCTCTGCCGGAAGCACTTGGCTTTTTTTTTGCTCCACCGGCGGATACCCCCCATGTGTCCCGATATTTTCTTCCTCTCATCTGGTCACCCTATACAGTATCTGTTAACTATCTTACAGTGGTGCCACAAGGCACCTAATTTATGAACAGTTGTGAAGTGCTTTGAGATCCTCAGATGAAACACTCTCTGTGTTCAAACTATTATTAGTATATGAATGATGAAGATGTGCCGTTCTGTGCCATATCCAAAGCTTACCTCTGTCTGAACCATGTGAACCCTGTGAAGTCTTAGATCATGCACTGCTCCATAAATATCCACTGAGTCCTTAGAGTCTAGTTGCTGAAGGATTCGGTCCAGTGCAATGAATGTGCCTGTCCTACCAACACCAGCACTGAAAAGAGATGGAAAATACAAACCCACTGGGTCAAAGCTCTCGCCATCTTTACATTTAACTCAGGCAAGGATCAGATTTGCATTGCTATAGATTCATCATGGTCTTTGGGTTAACTGCACTATACAAGTGGCAGCTCTAGGATTTCAGATGGGAATAGTTTACAGTGGAGCTAGATTTTTCGTTTGGAGTCACAGAAGAACTGGTTGTGATATCTCCTGTTTGTCACTATGGATCAAGTTAGGCTGACAGTTCAATATATCCAAATCTGTTTGTAAGGAGACCTTCAAGCTGTTTTCTTTCTAGAGATGAACCAGCAGATTCAGACTATGACCCTGAATAAGGACCCAAATGTTGTAGTTAACCTACAAAGCTTTACATTTTTGGGTGAGGTTCTTTGGCCTGTGTTATGCAGGAGGTCAGATTAGATGGTCACAATGGTCCCGTCTGGCCTTAAACATCTATGAAGATCTGGACACACATTTGCAGCTCAGATTTACCCCTAGTTACATTTTTTCTTAATTAAAAAGAGGTAATGAGACTTTGGGCCAGAGCCAGCAGTGCAAAGGAGACTTAAAAATCTGCCAGAATGCAGCAGCTGAGGGTCCCCCTGGAATAGCAGGTGTGCCAGGGACAGTGCTCTAGTGGTCCTACCTGGAGGCAGGACCTCCTCAGAACTGTTATTCACTGCCACTAGTTGGGCACCCAGCATCTCCCAGGATGAGGGCATGTGTGTCAAACACTGCTCTGGACCACCTAACCCACAGTCTCTCGATTAAAGCCTGGGCTGTTCTATAGAAATTTAAGCAAAAGTTACCCCCTGACAGACACCAACAGTAGAGATCTTTTTAATATATTTGATAAAACTCCTGAACCAATGACATCCTGCTTTCATTTATACCTGCAGTGCAGAATGGTTGGTCCGGTGTCCAGAGTCCTGTTGATATAATCCCTTACAGTTCTTACAAATTGGATCAGGGACTGGGTGGTCTCTGGAACTCCATGGTCTGGCCATACTGTGTAATGAAAGTGACGAATGAGCCTCTTTGAGTCAAGCTGCTCTTCCTGTCAGATCACAGAAATGTGGATAATCAGAACAGTTAAGAGGCAGATGTTCTAACACACCACGTCTTTGTAATGAACATCATGTTCTGTTACAGCTGCCACTAGGGAGTAGGTCACTGGAGAGCAATCAGGATGTGTGAGGTTTAACCAGTCTAGGTTTTCCTAACAGATTTTAAAAAAATAAAATAAAATAAAATAAACATACACTACAAATTTTAAACTCCCTTATTGTCCATTCCGGAAGCACTGACTCAGACAGCATCTCAACTATCAGATCTCCGTAATACAAGGAATCCTGGTCCAGGGGCCAGTACTGATCGCACTTCACCTGTATGGACAAAGAAAAGAGTGTTTCAATAATAACAAACAGCTGGAGCCAACCTGTCATATTTAAACAATTTATCTACTCAATTTTTGCACAGGGTTCCTAACTGTCCCCGCTTCCAGGGAGGCAAGAAGCAGTCATGCATCAGTAGATGGACAATTAAGGCAGCTAAAATAATCCATATGCACATGTAATCAATAAAGGACCTAAACACGTGCTTAACTAAGTATGCAAGAGGTCCCATTGAGTTAGGCATTGCTTAAGTACTTTGCTACGTCAGGGCCTAAACAGCAAAAAGCATTTCTACATACAGTTATGATTGCTTGCACTCTTTAGACTATGTTTAAAGCAGAGGTTGATCTGGGCTGATTCGGTGAACCAGTACTTAAGTCTCTAGCTCTTTTATTTGCTAAAGACAACCTTACACCTTACATGCTTACCTTACATCTTTAGTTGCTAAAGACAACCTTACAACCATACGTGATCAGAGTATGAACCAATTCAGTGATATCTACCTGAGTCTGAAGACAGCCTGACACAACAGCTCTGAAAGAAGCATGCATTGTCTTATTCATGACAAGGGTATCTTAATTATAAAGCCTAATGTTTGCAATTTAAATGTCAACATTATTAACTATTTTACTGTTGATCAAAGCACATGAAAGCACATGAAAAGAGGAGGGATGATCATATTAAGAAGATCAGCTGTGAGTAGAGTCTTGTCTTGACAAATCAAGAAGATGGCGCGTGGACCGCTACTTCCCATGCTTCCCCCCAATTCAATCTCTGGTTTAAAGAGTGATTGGGAATGCAGGGAGGCTGCTCTGGCTTTTAAAAAAACAAACAAACAAATGCAATGGACTTGGATGTAACCATTACCTGTGTGTGTCTATATGGGGGCATCAGGGAAGGAAAGAATATTTATGGTTTTCCCAGTTTAGTCACTTGCTTTGTACCATACATAGAAGATGTTTTTATGGTGGCTCATATTCGGATTACAGCACTATAAGTTTTATGAGGTTGTCATGGACAGTGAAATAAGTAAGTGTAAGGCCCAGAGAAGTTTCATAATTGTAATATACTAACCTTAAATAAATAGACTATGAAGTACATATAATGCATGGTGCTTATCTCATTATTTTTATTGATTTCCACCTTTGTCCTCCCATATCTCAACCCTTTGTACATTGTGCAGTGGGTTCTATTCTTAGCTCTCTCACTGACCCGCTGTGTGTTACCTTGGATTAGTCACTTCACCTCTTTGTGCCTCTGCTTCCCCACATATCCCTTTTCTGTCTTGTCTATTTAGGCCACAAGGGCCAGATGTTTAAAGGCATGCAGGCACCTAACTCCTACTGCAATCAAAAGAGATTTAGGTGCCTAAATAGCTTCAAAAACCTGGTTCTAAGCTCATAAGGGCAGGCATTGTCTCTTACTATGTGTCACTGCCTAGCATAATGGGACTTTGATCTCAGCTGATGTCTGTGGGTGTTAGTGTCATACAAATAATAAATACAAAATTTAAAAATAGTAATGAATAAGCAAGAAACCTCGCTACTCACTCGGCCCTTCTCGACACACTGGGTTACCATGACAATATTGTGAACATTCTGTTCCCATGCCATCTTCCAGAAATCATCTTTGGTGCCAGGCAAAGGGCCCTGAGTCGCAATGTATTCCCTGCGAAAATTATTGCCCTACGAATTCAGGAAATTCCAGTTAGTTTCTATAATGCCAGAGAACAGACCTTATAGCAACTGCAAACAAACCACCACTGTTATGACATCAACATCTTCACTGCAGCCACAGCTTGAAAACTAAAGGACGCCCTAAACTCTGGAAGCAGAAGGCTGGTGGGAGCAGGGAGGAGGAAGAGAAAGTGCCAGTGTATTTAAATATTGCTGGAAGGTATTTATTAGAATTAGTCAGAGATTTTTCATCTTTCTATTGTGTTCAGCACTGCCCTAGGCATTTTGAACCACTGTTTTGTTTTGTTTTGTTGTTTGCCGTTAATTAACTGAGCTCTGGATTGAAATCTGGATCGTTAGGGCTCTGCTATTATCAATCATAATTCCCTGGCAAAGGGCACAATTGTAATCTCAGCCAATTTCACCATAATACATGGTGCAAACACTTTCAGGATGCAATACAAGTCCGGAAGTATGATCTCAGTGATAGCTGTGCTTCTTGCAGAAATTGTATAAAAACAGTGACCTTTCAGAAGTTGTCTTTGGCCAATTATAACAACAATCTTATATGACTATAGCAATCCAGGGAAGAGGTTTTAAGAGCTGACTGAATCAGTCTCAGTTAACTGAATGGCAATCAGACATGGCCTTTCAGCACACACACAAAAACAGTTCTCAGACTTTTAGTTAAAACCAGTGAACATATGAAAGGAGGGATCCCTAAGAATCTAGCTACATGTTAAGTTTCATAGGAAGGTGAAATTATCATTGGAGAGACAAGGACTATAAAAAACACCACTGAGCCACTTACTGGTATGTAGCTTGCATTAATATAATCTGAGCAAGGATCATCATCTACGTTGGAAAGCTTCACTCTCGACGAATCATCTGGGAAGAAATGTATTACAAGAGGTTTATGCCTAGGTCTTGATTTTTCATCCCTTTCACATAAATGGAAATGTGCCCATGTTAAAATACCAACTGCACTTTCACGGTCAGAATTGGAAGGTTTGTTTGCAAATGATAGCCACCCACATTTGTACAACACCTTTCACCAGGGGGGTTCCAAGGCACATGGCGGCCGATAACGAGATTGTATGCAAGGAGCTAGAACTGCAAAGGTCCATAGGCGCGTAATTGCCTCGTTCGGCACCTCAGTCCACAATGTAGGTGCCACCGGCATACTCAAAACTACCGCTAAGCTCCTGCCTACCCCGGTAAGTGTCTACGTTTCCGATGGTGGGCATGTGCAAAGCTGCCTCACAGCTGATACCCACCCACAGCTAACGAACCGCTCAGAACTGTTGCTCAAGCTGAAGCTCCAAAGCAGGATTCTCAAGCTAGTGGTTTCCCACCAATCTCACGTGTGGGGCCCGACCCCAGAGATGCTGGGGCACACCTTCAGGATCAGCCATCACACAAACGAGTGTGAGAGCGTCTGTCCCCAAGCGTAGTGGCCAGAGTATTCACTTGGGATGCAGGAAATCCAGGTTTAAGGCCCTCCTCCAATTATTTATACTAAGTGGAAAGCTCCAACAGGAGAGACAGAGAGATCCACCCACAATACACAATGCCCTGTGTGCTAGGGACTCTCCTTAGATGTGGGATTTGTGGGTTCAAGTCCTGGTTTCAAATCTGAGTGGAGATTTGAAAACAGGTCTCCCACATTCCAAGTGAGTGCTATAAACACAGGGCTATTGGCTACAGTGGGGTAGGTCTCTTGTCTTTCAGGAGAATGGTCTGGGTTTCATCTGCTAGGGCCTGGGCTTACCCAGCTCAGGTGTCTAATGTCAGGAGAGGATTCATGGTGGAGAATTCTGAGTGGAGGGAGGTGCCTCCCTCTGGCCTGTCAGGTAAGTAATGGCCCAGACCAATGGGAGCAGATGCCTAAGTACGTTTGTGAATCTGGGCCCTTAGTCCTGTCTCCTTCCTTTTGCATGACACTGATGGTTTCACAGGATCCCTGTGTTGGGTGCCTACCTCCCCTCATGCATTGATGGGGAGACTAAATGTCTAACTCAGAATGGAGGGCTGGGCAGGGCAGGGCACCTAGTGGTTAGGCACTGCAATGCCTAAGTACCTTTGTGGATTTAGCCCAGGGAGACTTCACCCCATTTTTCCACAGGTGAGCGCAATCCCATTGTAGAGCACAAGTCTCTTCCCTGATTGTGCTCTGGTGGATGCCAGCTATTTGAAAGAGGTAGGGAGTTAAGGTAATGGTGGGACTGTGGCTGCATCCCTCTTTACCTCTGAAGGCAGGGCCAGCTATGCATGGAGGACAGCATACAGTCTTCCCCTTGACAGAACAGCAGTGTCCCCACTTCACTGTGCAGTCCCCTGAGAAAATGCTGGGTGACTGAGCAAGACAGCATTCCTCCTGAGTCTCTGGCTGCAGAGTTGCCCATCCAGGGCAGACTGAGACATAAAGGTACCAGAGCGCCATACACACTTTGGGTACTTCTACACGGCAGTTGGGTGGGTACTTCCCAGCACGGGTAGACAGACAAGTGCAACTCTGCTTGAGTTAGCGGGCTACAAATACAAACCCTCCCAGACCTACTGGGTATGTACGTGGGTGAGTAGCCTGAGCCACCGCTCGTGCTACCCCCAGCTACACTGCTATTTTAAGTGCACAAGCTACCATATGTCTGTCTATCTGAGCTGGGAAACACCCTCCAAGCTGCAGTCAGACATACCCATGGAGGGATCCCATCACCACTACTGAAATACAGCCACCTCTGGATAAAACTTGGCAACTAACCATGGCACATGACAATGCTACATGGCAAGAAATTAAGCTGAATGCTACCATAGCCCATTGAAATTGCAGGGGGCTATTTAAGGTAGGCTAATTACCTCCAATAGGCATTCCCCAGGGCTGTCCCCATTCTCATGTGCCACGTACAGTCAGGATCTTTGTCTTGTATGAAAGAGGACTCCTTCAGGATTATCCCCTTGTGCCATGCTGGGGGCACTGTGCTACTGCAGTCTCATTATTAACTCTGAAGGAAGCGACTGTCACCTATCGATGTCAAATAAGTGATCTGTGGCCACTAGACAGGTTTGAACTGACTATATCTGAATGACCAGGGAGCAGGTAGCCCAGCTGCTGATCACACAAAACACATGTGACAAGGTTTCTATTATTCCTACTATCCACCCTGACAGAACCGCTGAAAGGCTAGAACAGCTGAAGCCTTTTATAAACAGAATGAGCACTAGTCATTACGCCTCTGGTGGGAAGTGAAATTTCATGGGAGCTGCTGTTTTAAAGCCGCTCATGGCCATACACCGTCAGCAACAAAGCACCATGGCTTGGCTTGGCAATGCTTTTCATCTCTGACAAGGTGAAACAAGGAAAGGGATATGCTACATGCCCGATCCCATCCTGAAAAGAAGTGAAAAATAGCTGGTGTGATGTAATATTATATACCCAAATATAAAACTTACAGGGCAATATATTATTGTATCGATTTTTCCCTCTGTTCTCCGGCAAAAGCGCTATGTCACACGATTGGTTTCGACCCACATCTTTTAAGTCCTGCAAAAGGCCGAAATGAATGCAAGGTGAAAATAATCAAAGGATGCTACAACACGGAATGTACAGCATGCTAGGCTAAGGAAAGGAAATGATTTTTATTAGACTCAAATTAGAGAACTGGTGGCATTGGCTTGAGCCAGGCACATTGCTGGTAGGCACTGTTCATGATTTGTCACACTCTGCTCACACAACTCAGTCCTGACCCTCAGCACATCCTGGTGGTCCTGTGCTGGGCCTTTGATGAATGGAGGCTGCCAACTGGATCAAGCTGAGCCTAATTAAGTTGTGGTTTTGGCAGCAGGACAAACAGGGTCTAAGCTGAGACTGTCAAACTCATTTTCACTTGTGTGAAGAAGACCCAGGAATGCATGTTTCTGGGGCTGAAGGGTTAGTGAGCCAGAGTTAGCACCCAACCAGTTGGTTCAATAAAGAAATGGTTTGACTGGATTGGATTCGTACCTCATACTCCTTGGACAGGAGGTAGTTGGAATCTGCTTGGAGTTTGGTGAAGTGCCCTTCAAACTGATTTATCTTTATTGGACTAAAACATTCGACAGAAGAAAACAAGACAAAAAACAAAGTTACCCCAGGACAGAACAAGGACATTATTCATCTAATTCATTACAAAGGAAGATGTTTTAAATGAAGAAATATTTGCTTTTACCTGGAAATTCTCCGGCTCCTAGAAATAATTTCAAAAGAAAAAGAAACAACTTGTCAGTGAGTGACCGGAGAGACTGTTTCATCTATGATGCCATGTTAAAACAGTTTTCTCTTAGAAACAAACTTTGAGATTACCCTCTCTGCCCCAAGTTCAGATGGACGGACAACGGCCTGTCCCTGCGAACGCTCAGCCTTGCCGTAGGTCGTTCATGGCCATTACTGCAATACAAAGGAAGCTATTCTTACTTTGGTTTTACTGCTATATTCAAATGTCAACGTAAGTTGGGCAACGAAAGTATCTTGTGGCAGGAAATAAAGAAAAGGAATAAAAAGAGATGGCTGTTTCATTTGCGGCTCTGAAGTGGATCTTTGCAGCTGCACAGTTTTCCTGTACCTTAGTTTGCTGCAATAGGATAATAATATTATATCATATATAGAAAAAATGGTGTAAAACAATAACAGGCTGCTTTTACCATAAGAGACACAGCCCAAACTACCACTAAAGTGGGTATTAGAGCTAGTCAGGAATTTTTTAACTGACATGCTGATTTGTCAAAGCTGAAACTTTTCATGGAAAACCTTTTTTGGGGAACATTTCTCAGGTCCAGGAGGGAATTTCCAGTGAGAGAGAGAAGCACCCACCCCAGCATAACCAATAGACTGGGTGGGTGCTTCTCTCTTTCACTGGCCAGCGTGCTCACCTGGTATGTCAGAGACCCAGGTTCAAGTCTCTAGTCTGAATCTCCCACTCTGGTTTTTTTTCCCCTTCAAAAATTTAGAAAGGTCTTGGTTTTGTTCCAACACATAATGGAAAAAAAAAATCAAATCCTCAAAATTTCTGCTGACATGGAATTCTCGTTTTCCAGCCAGTCCTAGCGGGTGTCCTATGCAGGGCTGGTGCAACCATTTAGGTGACCTAGGCGGTCGCCTAGGGCGCTAGGATTTGGGGGAGTGCCATTTTCTGCGGCAGCGACCACAGCGGCCAGATCTTCGGCCGCCCAGGTCGCCGCCGGCATTTAGGTAGAGGGAGCTGGGGCAGTAGAGCGCGGGGAGGGCTGCCTGCAGCAAGGGGGGTGGGATGGCACGCAGGGGAACTCCCCGCCCCAGCTCACCCCTGCCCCGCCTCCTCCCCGAGCACCCCCCCTGCAGCAGCTCCCCCCCTCCGCCCTGAGGCACCCACCCCGCGGCAGCTCCCCACCCCCCACCCTAAAGCACCCCCCGCCCCAGCTCACCACTGCCCCGCCTCCTCCCCAAGCACGCTGTGGCTGCTTCACTTCTCCCACCTTCCAGGCTTGTGGCGCCTAAGCTGATTGGCGCCGCAAGCCTGGGAGGCGAGAGAAGTGAAGCAGCCACGGCGTGCCCGTGGAGGAGGTGGGGCATGGGTGAGTTGCCGCGGGGGGTGCCTCAGGGTCGGGGGTGGGGAGCAGCCGCAGGGGGGGT